AACCTTATTCTAATTATTAAGGCCATTACATTTGGGTTTCAAGCTAAGGTTTAGGGTTTAGGCTTGAGTGTTTACTAAGAAGCTAGACCCCAAGCAAAACCTCTGAACTCCAATCGTTCGACCACATCGACCCTAAACCTGAAATCCATCGTTTTATCTCGTTTCGTCCTGCCCGAAAGCGGAGTTTCGAAAAATCGGTAAGGTAACCCTGGAATGTAATTAGAAGCCTGGCTCATGATGGGTTGACATGGTTTCATTGCGCTTCGAAGGGTTATTGTAGGGCTTTCTAGGGTTTATAGGAAATTGTTGTTTTTTTCAGGCGCTTAGACATGGTTTTCTAACGTTTCGGGGCAGGCCCGAGAGTTTCTCCACTAATCTTCGGGGAGGATGAAGAAATTTCTTGAGGCTCCCTTATTTCGCCCCGCGCCCCATAGCCTGCAAAGGCACAGAAGGATTTAGAAAGATGGGCAGCAAGGAACTGAAGCCTTCGCTGACCGGATGTGATGAGAGAAAAGCATGTCTTGAGCGTCTCTCGGGGAAGTTGCAGGCTCGACTGCAAGCAGCAGAAGCAGAAGCACTCTCCAAAGCTTTGAACGTCGCTCTCAAGTCCTGCAGTGGTGAGCTTTTGGGCCTTTTTTGGGGGGACTCTGGCAGGCCACATCCAAAGATGCCAGCTTCAGCATCAAGGTCGGATGCAGGGTTTAGGGTTTAGGGGTATGGGCTGCAGCAAAAAAGGGGATGAACGCCGTGAAACTGCTTTGCATAATAAACGTGGGTTCGCGTCGTTAGATGCAGTTCTGCTACTGTTATTATTCCTTCTCTGGGGCACATGAGTTTTGGAAGGAACTACATTGGGGGTTTCAGGCACATCTGTTGCAAAGGTCAAGAACACCGACACCAATGCCGCCCACCCGGATGGTAAGGTGTCAGGTTCCGGGCTTGGCTAGGAGGTTCGGGGTTCTTTTCCGTTGAGCGTCAAGGCCGAACAAGCAGAGAGGTGGTGGTCAAACAAAAATCTGCGATCCTGGTCGTCATCGACGTTGTCGTGGTGGTGGTGGTAGTAGTAGAAGCAGTGGTAGTAGT